TTTTAACAACATTTAAGGTCTGTGGTCTAAGGGATGAGATCTTTTAAGCCTTCGCCTACTGTTGTTTACTGCCAGGTCAGTAGCCAGAGGATTTGGGTGTGCTAAGAGCCTGTCCGCGTACCTCGAGGAGTGACGTCCAATCAGTTCAGCGATTGTTGGTACGCTTAGGTCGCTGTGCAGCACAGAGTTGCGGACGTACCAGCTAGCGCCTGTGAGTCGCCGAAGCGCCTTGTTTTGCAGGGTTTGCACTTTATTTATGTGAGTCCTCGCTGCGGTACCCCAAATGGGGATAGCGTATGTTAGAGTTGGAACAACGATGGCATTATAGATTTTTATTTTGCTCTGTAGCGACAGCTTGCTAGAGGGCCTCAGCATCCAATCCAGTTTTTTGATTCTCATCTTGGCTGTATTAACTGCCTGCGTGATGTGCGCACTATAGGTCAGCTTTTTATCTAGTGTTACACCGAGATATTTAACTTTGTTGACCTTCGGTATTTGCACTCCCAGAGTTTATTATTATTTAAATAAGAAATGATTGTGCAATGGTTATGTGAAGGAGTCGAGGCAGACTTGATAAAAAATTTCTTTATTTTTGTATAGGACTACTATCTAATTCGTCTTTCCTCTATGACAATTATGATATTTCCTTTCACATCCTTATATTGAAATACTTTATCGTAATTTATAATCAAATTCTGGTTGCTAAAGATTCTCAGGACGCCTTGAAATCTCAGCTTAGCCTTATCCAATCGAGCGGCTGGGCATAGCAGCTATCGAAGCATGACCATGCCCATTATTCTAATTGCTCCACCCGCAAAGTTGGCTTTTGACAGCAATTAAATTAGATTATATAGTCGTGTTGCTGGTTAGCTGGGCAGGAGCTCGGCTACAAAATGGCCCCAAATATGCATTAATTGCCATTCGATGGCGCTGCGTTCTGCTGCCGCTGCTGCTGCTGCTTGGGTCAATGGCATCGACAGCTGTCGTTCAGTTGTTGTTGTTGCTCCCCTTCGGCTGGGGCGCGTGCCCGGCCCCCCATTGTTTAGCCAGTGGCTGGCCGAGCTATAAAAGCGTCGAGCGTCTGCTGGGGGTCAACAACTCAGAGAGCAGCCACGAAGCACGAAGCACACCACAACATGCAGTGGACCACGCTAATTGGTAGGTGTTTCTCTGCTCTGGGAATATGCCTGGACTGATCGATCGTCTTGTTCTTTGCAGTATTTGCGCTGCAGCTGATGCGAGCAGCGATTGCCTCGACAACTCCCGCGCCCAATCCCCTCACCCGGCCCACAATTGGGCCCGTGTGTCTCCAGCCGCCGGTTTGCGTTGCGCGCAGTCCGCGGGTTTGCGGCCGGCTGCCCAATGGCCTGTGTCGCCGCTTCACGAACATTTGCGAGCTGATCGCCGTGAATCGCCGGGATGTGAGCGGCGACAGGAGGTTGACCTGGACACACACGCAGGAGCGGGATTGCCGGCTGGTGCGGCGAGTGGGCGCCGGCAGTGCCAACTGGTGCCAGCAGGACTGTCCCCGGCGAGCCGTCCCCTGCCGACGCACGCCCCGTGCCCAGGAGATTTGCGTGCGCTCACGCAACCTGAGGTCCTGCCGGGTCCTGGCCAACCGCTGCCAGCTACTGAACCTCAACTGCTTCGGGCGTCCACGCAACAGTGAGTGATGTCTAGGTCCCTTTGGAGAATGTCAACTAAACTATCTCTCTCTCTCTCTCTCTCTCTCTCTCCAGATTGGCTGCCGGCGCCGAGGCGCCTTTGCGGCCAGCTGCGTGCGGGCGACAGACCGCGCGCCTGCCAGCTTCGGCTGCCTTCCAGGCGGCCCGATGTGACCATCAGTCCACCCGTCCTGCCACGCCCACCGACCAGCGACCAGCCTCTGACGACGACGACCAGCCAGCCTGCTGCAACAGCTGGCTAGGCCACAGGCTCGCAGCTTTCTTCTGCATCTCTTTCTCATCTTCTTCTCTTCTCTTGCTCTCTTTCACAATAAATCGAACTACTTTAACATTGACTTGCAACTTTAACTGTATAATTGCTGGCAGGAGCAGCGAAAGCACTGCTGCCACGCCCACATGTTTCCAGCTGGCTGCCTTTTCGGTGGGAATTATTTTATTGAACGCAATTGTTTTTAGCTTTGGCTCGTTTGTTATTTCGCGGCGGCAAATTACTTTTTATGGCCGCCCAAGCGGCGGTTGTCGGGTTTATGTTACGTTAACGGTGAATGCCGTTCGCATTGCTGCCACACTGACTCTGCCACAGTGGCTGCCTGCCGTTGCCTGTCGTTGCCTGGCTGCCTGGCTGGCGTTGCCTTTGCCGCTGCGGCGGCTGTTTTCCAAATTTAATGGCTTAGAAAGCCATTTGCATTTTTTCGGTTGCCCAACTTTGTTGAACATTATTGACGCCGTATGTTGGTGCCGCTAATTAGCTTTAGCTGCACCACCACCACCACCCCCAGCACCACTAGCACCACTACCGGCAAACAAATATTGTGGCTGTATTAAATTATGCAATGGCAATGCTGCAAACTACAAAAATTAAATAAATTAGTCGACTACGCAATCTCCTGAATCCTTCTAAGAATTTATATTTCTTCATGTCTTTCTGCTTACACGAGAAACACACACACACTACGCATAAACACGTATGGACTGCAGTGTGGGCTTACTATAGGAACTTAACTGTTTAATATCTTTTCTTGTCGATGGACTATCTCCATGAAACTTGTACAGATATGAGGGTGAGGGGCTGGATATAGGGATGAGGGTTAAACTACAACAAAAATTGAAATTATATAGAATACATATAAGTCTACATTTAAAATTTGGAAGCTCTAGCTCTAAAGGTGTGGAAGATATAATTAAATAACTACCTATCGATAAGGTTTTTGATCGATAATAAAATATCGGGAGTAGTTATCGATTTTTTAAGCAAGACTTGATCTCCGCGTGGTATACACGGACTTGGGAAAAATTATTTCAAGTCTCTAGCTCTTATATCTTCTGAGATCGACGCGTTCAAACATACGGACAGACGGACAGACAGACGGACTCAGCTCGTCGCCCTGATCAAGAATATATATTTTATGGGGTCTGCCACGCCTCTTTCTGCCTGTTACATACCTCTAACAAAACCAATATACCCTAATATCCCATTTTCAATGGGTTCAGGCTATAAAAAACGAAAATCTTTAAGAAAATGCATTGCATTTATTTACTCAATATATGTATATATTTACTTAAGTGCAAAGTTGCGCAAAGCAGAGTTGCTCGGTGTTTCGGGTATTTTAAGTTTCGCCCGAAAGTATGCAATGAAGTTGCGCCAGCCGGAAATTGAAGCCCGCTGCTGCGGCTGCCATATTGGAAGCACGTTAAATTCCATTGCATACTTTTGTGCGCGTTGGAAATTCAATAAACTAATAAGTAAATTTGCCGAACGCATAAAGAACTAGTTTTAATTGGATCTCATGTGTGGTTGCCCAGCGCAGATATGTAAATGTCCGATATAAATATATTGGCTTATGCAAGGCAATGTCTGCTGCTGCTGCTGCTGCTGTTGCTGCTGCTGCTGCTGTTGCTGCTGCGGCTGCTGCTGCTCCTCCTCTACGAGCTTGACATTCCTAGTAAAGCATATTAAATTTTACCCACCTCTGCACATATACCTGCATTCACACACATACATGCGTATCTGTATGTGTGTGTATACAATATTTGCATATTGAAATTTTCTTGGCTTTTTAGCCAGCCGAGCCACGTGGCTGGCACACATATTAATCGCCGTTGCTGCTGTCGAGCAGCCAACAGTTGATTGTCACAACGTTAGTTGGGGCGTGGGCTACGGGGCGTGGCACTGGCACGACAATAAGCACACTGTTGCCAGGACAGGCCACAGGCGGCAGCACATTGTTGTGAAGTGCAATAAATTTGCATGCTATTATTTTGGTGTCTGTTGACGTTGACGTTGAAGTTGACGTTGACGTTAAAGTTAACGTTCACGTTCACGTTGACATTGCCTTTCTGTGCGCCCTTGCCTTGGGCTTTGGCCCACTTTAGCGCATTCCTCAGCTGCGTATATCAGCTCCTGCTAAACTCCACTGACTGCCTATAGTCAGCCGCTGCTGCCCTGGCCACTTGGCGTATGCGCAATTCGCCATTTTCAGCCACTTACCTGCGTTAGCTTGCCGTTGACAATGCTGAGCGACTCGAGGCTGCCGCGCACATTGCGCAAGCTGTTCTCCTTGAGCGCCTCCAGGTGCGAGTGCGAGAACTGCAAATGGCGTATGTGCACGCCCGGCTGGATGACGTCCTGCGAGAGCGATGTCACCGACCGATCGAAGTCGTAGATGGAGAGCGAGTGTATCGGCGCCGAGATGCGCTCCAGCGTCGAGCGCAGCGACAGCGCCGTCGTCCCGGGACACTCCAGAAAGAGGCCTGCAAATAGCCAGAGCTCAATCATTAATCATCGACAAACAGCAAACAAGAAGCACCCCAATGCATATTATCATTGCCATTAGCATTAGTAATTGCGCTCACACTCAACTGGAGCAATCAGTCGAGCCGAAGCCCTTGACTGTGTCTCAAGTTGCCCGATGCGTGTGCCCCAAGGTTTGTTGGCCCTTGATTAGGTCTGATACAGATGAGAGAATAATCAGCTTACCTAACGCTGAAAATTCTCGGGAAATTCGCTGCCAATAACAATGGATTATTCTAATTTTCCTTTGCTTAGCAAACAAATGAAAAAAAGATTTCCTAATTCAGCCAAATAATTTAATTCGGGATTTTCTAAAGAATAGTTCTGAGTGTGAGATGTATTATATATTTTTACAATAGAAAAAATATTCTTATTGAAATTAAATCCAAAAGAAATCAAATTAAATAAATAAAAACATAAAAAAAAAATTCAACAGCCATAAATTGAATCGACTTTTATTAACATCTAAGAAATCAATTTACGCTTTTGGCTAACCCAAATGCCATTTGGATTCAGAAGCTCAAAGGCAGCTGCATTAATAGCGAAAATTCCATTAAAAATGCAATTATTGCAAATTAGATTGAATAAATTTTTCAATTAATAGAAAATTCGTATAGCTGGCGGATTTCTCATTTTGCCAATTAGCGGAAGCAGAGATCAAAGCAAACGAATTGCTAGATTAAATATTGAGCAAAACTATGAGTGCTGTATAATCAGGTGTCTTTGACTAGCAGATACCCTGGAAGTCGTGGGGCATCTTAAAAAAAAAAAAAAAAGATGGAAATGTGGGATCATTTAATATATGGAGAAAATTATTGGAGTTTCCAGAGAGAGAGACAACAGCCTCAAATGGAGAGACAACAGCTTCAATTGGTTGACTATATGTAAAACTGAGTCTCTCTGATTGACCTACTTTTCAAGATCAACAAACTTCGATACGAAAACAGAATGACAGACAGCAATGCGAATATGACTAGATTGATAATGCTTTAATGCCTGCTCAATAATCTATAACTTATTATTCGATGTAATTCTCAACATTTTTAGCTTAGTTCCCAACATTTGTCTTAAATTTTACAGAAGAGCAGCACTTGGAAAACTCATATAGGCACGCCTGCTATAGCTCTATAACTATAGCTTCTGTTATGTGTTTACGTCAAACAAACATATGCAAATCTGTGATATATCTTTGATCTATATATGATGCGTATTTAAATAATGCTCACTTTTCTGGTGGATTTGACAGAGAATAGATCCAATTTCTTGACATATAGAATATTTATATGATTTAAT